ATACTTTTCTTGCTATAGTCTGAATAGTAGTTGCTTTGTTGGATAACTGAGCGGGTGATGCTTTTCTGAGTTGCTTGACGTGAAGTATTCAAAAGGGGTCCCACTTTATCTTGGTATGCTGTTTGCTGTAAATTGGAGGTTTCTTGGAACCTGCTAAGAAATAGTATCTGCGTTCTAGTCCTATAACGATATTAAGCCAACTGTGCTTCACCATTGACGTAGCAGCGTAAAAAGAATGGTTAACTTCTTTTAGAGAATCCAATTTACGCACGCGGTGACTTTATTTCAGCGGATGAGAGCCCAACGACACACCAGTCTTTTCCAGCTGTATGTTACATTAATGCCTGTCGGACCATTTTTATCATCGTGCTGCCTCTTCCGAGTGCAGGTTACAAAACCCTTTAACGTCGACAATAGATTAAAGGGACTGTATTTAATGAGGAACCAACCAGTGTCTTTTGTCAAATAAGACATATCGTCAGAATTTATTGAAAACATATGTTATAAGTCATGAAGCGTTTCTTTCTCCGCCTCTAATTCAAGACTTATATAAAATCCTTTAAGTGCTTATCCCAAACTGTTACTGCAAGCATGATGGGGTAAATGTGTAATTTGGTAAAAATCTGTAGCTGACACGGCTTAGTTAATGCGTTCTTATAAGTTTTTAGTACTTGATGCTCTCCTGTTGCTCAAAAGTTATATTTTAATTGTACTCCTTAATTAACGTTTACGTGTTCTAAACGGAACTCACTCATAGCGCTCTGCCTTAGTGTTCATTCCCGAGACCCACTAACAGCTGCACATTGACTTGTATTTTAGGCCGATAACAATGCCGGAAAAGACAAGGAAGACTGAAACAGCCATTTCTGCCTTATTAGCCGTCGTCAGCCAGTCACATCCAACCCCAAGTGGTGCATCACACAGGGTTTGAACTCACGACCATTTGGACTAAGCATAGGGTCATGGTTTCGTTGGCCTGCAAGTTTTAAATTTAACTCTATTGTCTACTCATAAGAGATATGCCCATCTTTTAAGGGCAACACAAATTTTTAAATTTGCGAAAATTTCCATTGACAAGTTCAGAAGATAAAGTGGCCAACATACGTTTGTTTTCGATAAATTCTCGTCAGGTCTTTACATTTAT